TAATAATAATAATAATAATAATAATAATAATAATAATAATAATAATAATAAAAGATATATGATTAGGTGAAACTCACTTGTCATAGACATTCTCTAGGTGTATTATTTCTATTATTTATTTTATATTATGTCTTAAAAATTACAATTTAATTTGAGTTTGTAACACGTTTACCCCTATTAATTTTTTTTCGATACAATAAAGGAGGCTTTCTAAGCTAAACTCGTCAGGAATACAACACCCCAAGACCATCATGCGCGAGCCATGCTTCCATGCCTGGAAGAGGTACTCCTATTAATTTGATCCTTCTCAATTCCTCCAAACCACTCGGTCATTGCTTATTACTTGTTAGTCACACAACCACTAAAACTCTACAAGTCACTTGATCAGTTGACCAAGCACCACACGAGTAATCGAGTCAAGTTATAAAAACTTGCATAAATATCTCTATTTTCGAGTGACGAGCTCGAGCTCAAACTCTTCCAAGCTTATGACAGAGTAGTTCCCCAAAGACCTTATATTAATTTTATAATTTTTTTTTGGTCTTCTATATATTTATTAAAATATTGCAAAAATACGATTATTTAGAATAAAAAATTGTTTTATATTTATAATTAAAGAATAAATATTGTAAATGTACAAATGCAAAGAAATTTGTAGACGAGTAATTTTCTCTATTTTTTTTTTTTTCAACGTCCACCTATTGAGGTGGGCCGTATACTGCACTTCCATATCTTGTTAGGGCTCAAGCCCAACCAAAATTTGGCACGGTCCTTAAATTGAACTATTAAGCCCAGCCCATTGTGAACTTTCATTATACAAAAATGTAATTTTTCCTTTCATTGGAACGAACCATTTGACAATCATGATCAGCGTTCTAGCTCAGGTACTTTCTCTCTCTCTCTCTCTATTATTACAAACCCTAATTTACGAATACCCCAATTTTGCGTTGATTTATGTTATTGTGTAATTTGTTTGTATGTATGCATTTGTATGTGTATCTATCTATAGGAGCGTCTGCTAGGCGCGGCTCTGGGGAGCATTG